TTCACCCTGGCAGTAACAGGGACCCCCCAGACCCCCATTTTTGCCCATTTTCCCCCATTTTTGCCCCATTTTTCCCCAGCTGCAGTCTCTCACCCTGGGCAGTAACAGGGACCCCCCAGACCCCCAGTTTTGCCCATTTTTGCCCATTTTTGCCCATTTTTGCCCCATTTTCTCCCCAGTTGCAGTCCCTGACCCTGGGCAGTAACAGGGACCCCCAGTTTTGCCCATTTTTGCCCATTTTTACCCATTTTTCCCCCATTTTTCCCCTCAGTTGCAGTCCCTGACCCTGAGCAGTAACAGGGACCCCCATTTTTGCCCATTTTTTCCCCATTTTTCCCCTCAGTTGCAGTCCCTGACCCTGGGCAGTAACAGGGACCCCCATTTTTGCCCATTTTTGCCCATTTTTACCCCATTTTTCCCCAGCTCCAGTCCCTCACCCTGGGCAGTAACAGGACCCCCATTTTTGCCCATTTTTGCCCATTTTTACCCCATTTTTCCCCAGCTCCAGTCCCTGACCCTGGGCAGTAACAGGGACCCCCATTTTTGCCCATTTTTGCCCCATTTTCCCCCCCAGCTGCAGTCTCTGACCCTGGGCAGTAACAGGGACTCCCCAGACCCCCATTTTTGCCCATTTTTGCCCCATTTTCCCCCCAGCTGCAGTCCCTGACCCTGGGCAGTAACAGGGACCCCCCAGACCCCCATTTTTACCCATTTTTGCCCCATTTCCCCCCCAGCTGCAGTCCCTGACCCTGGGCAGTAACAGGGACCCCCATTTTTGCCCATTTTTGCCCCATTTTCCCCCCCAGCTGCAGTCCCTGACCCTGGGCAGTAACAGGGACCCCCAGACCCCCATTTTTGCCCATTTTTGCCCATTTTTACCCCATTTTTCCCCAGCTGCAGTCCCTCACCCTGGGCAGTAACAGGGACCCCCCAGACCCCCATTTTTGCCCATTTTTACCCCATTTTCCCCTCAGTTGCAGTCCCTCACCCTGGGCAGTAACAGGACCCCCATTTTTGCCCATTTTTGCCCATTTTTTCCCCATTTTTCCCCTCAGTTGCAGTCCCTCACCCTGGGCAGTAACAAGCTGTACCGCCTGGACGATTTGGCCGACCTGGCCCTCAAAGCCCCCGGGCTCAAAGTGCTCGACCTGTCCCGAAACGAGGTGAAGACCCCCTGAGACCCCCAGAGCTCCCTGACCCCCAGATCCCCCTGAGACCCCCCAGAGCTCCCCTGTGCCCCTCCGAAACCCCCACCCCTCCAGACCCCCCAAAGCTTCCCTGTGCTCCCCTGACCCCCAGACCCTCCCCAAAGCTTCCCTGTGCCCCCGAGACCCCCACCCCCTCCAGACCCCCTCCAAAGCTTCCCTGTGCCCCCCTCGAGACCCCCAGACCTCTCCATACCTCCCTGACCCCCGTCTCTCCTGTGCCCCCTGAGTCCCCCTGACCCCCTGTGCCCCCTTGACCCCCTGTGCCCCCTGAACCCCCCAACCCCTGACCCCCCTGACTCCTCTGTGCCCCTTGACCTCCCCTGTGCCCCCTTGACTCCCCCTGTGCCCCCCTGAACCCCTGTGCCCCCTGCTCCCCTGACCTTCCCTGACCCCTCTGATACCCCCTGTGCCCCTTGACCCCACTGTGTCCCCTGACCTCTCTGATCCCCCTGTGCTCCCTGACCCCCTGTGACCTCCTGACCCTCCCTGACCCCCTGAACCCCCTTGACCTCCCTGACCCCCTGTGCCCCCTTGACCTCCTGACCCCCTGACCTCTCTGTACCCCCTGTGCCCCTCCTGACCCCCTGTGCCCCCTGACTCCTCTGACCCCCTGTCCCCCTCCTGACCCCTCTGACCCTTCCTGTGCCCTCCTGAACCCCCGTGCCCTCCTGACCCCTCTGATCTCCCCTGAACCCCCTGTGCCCCCTGTCCCCTCCGATCCCCCTGTACCCCCTCTTGTTCCCCTCATGGCCCCTCTGACCCCTGACTCCCTGACCCTCCCTAACCCCATTTGACCTCTGAACACCCCTGAACCCCCTGACCCTCTGATCTCTCCTGACCCCCTGTGCCCCCTGTGCCCTCCTGACTCCCGACCCTCCCTAATCCCATTTGACTCCCCTGACCCCCTGTGCCCTCCTGACCCCCTGACCCTCTGATCTCTCCTGACCCCTCATACCCCCATGCCCCTTGACCTCCCCTGTGCCCCCTGTGCCCCCTGACCCCCTGCCCCCTGACCCCCTGACTCCCCTGTGCCCCTGTCTCCCAGCTGAAGTCGGAGCGGGAGCTGGACAAGGTGAAGGGGCTCAAACTGGAGGAGCTTTGGCTGGATGGGAACCCCCTCTGTGACTCCTTCCGGGACCAGGCCACCTACATCAGGTATGGGACACCCCCCAAACCCCTGGGGGGGTCCTCAAATCCCTGGGGGGGTCACCAAACCCCTGGGGGGGTCACCAAACCCCCCAGAGTGTCCCCAACCTGTCCCCAAACCCCCCCTTTGTGTCCCCAAACTCCCCCCTGTGTGTGCCCCCAAACCCCCTGTGTGACTCCTTCCGGGACCAGGCCACCTACATCAGGTATGGGACACCCCCCAAACCCCCCAGAGTGTCCCCTAATCCCTGGGGTCCCCAAACCCTGGGGTCCCAAATCCCTGGGAGTGTCCCCAAACCCCCATGTGTGTCCCCCAAACCCCTGTGTGACTCCTTCCGGGACCAGGCCACCTACATCAGGTATGGGACAGTCCCCAACCCCCAGAGTGTCCCCTAAACCCCCAGGGTGTCCCCAAACCCTGAAGTGTCCCCAACCTGTCCCCAAACCCCCATGTGTGTGTCCCCCAAACCCCTGTGTGACTCCTTCCGGGACCAGGCCACCTACATCAGGTATGGACACCCCCAAACCCCCAGAGTGTCCCCAAATCCCTGGGGTCACCAAACCCCTGGAGTCACTAAACCCTGGGGGTCACCGAACCCCCTGTGTCCCCAACCCCCGCTTGTGTGCGCCCCAAACCCCTCTGTGACTCTCTTCTGGGACCAGGCCACCTACATCAGGTATGGGACAGTCCTCAGAGGTCCCCAAACCCCTGGGGTCACCAAATCCTGGGGGTCCCCAAACCCCCAGAGTATCCCTAAACCCCCAGGGTGTCACCAAACCCCTGTGTGTCCCCCAACCTGTCCCCAAACCCCCCATGTGTGTGCCCCCAAACCCCTGTGTGACTCCTTCCGGGACCAGGCCACCTACATCAGGTATGGGACAGTCCCCAAACCCTGGGGTCCCCAAACCCCAGGGTGTCCCCAAACCCCCTGTGTCCCCAAACCCCTGGGAGTGTCCCCAAACCCCCCCATGTGTGTGTGCCCCCAAACCCCCTCTGTGACTCCTTCCGGGACCAGGCCACCTACATCAGGTATGGGACACCCCCCAAACCCCCCAGAGTGTCCCCAAATCCCTGGGGGGGTCCCCAAACCCCTGGGGGGGTCCCCAAATCCCTGGGAGTGTCCCCAAACCCCCCCATGTGTGTGTCCCCCCAAACCCCCTGTGTGACTCCTTCCGGGACCAGGCCACCTACATCAGGTATGGGACAGTCCCCAACCCCCCCAGAGTGTCCCCAAACCCCTGGGGTCCCCAAACCCCTTTGTGTCCCAAACCTGTCCCCAAACCCCCACTGTGTGTCCCCCAAACCCCTGTGTGACTCCTTCCGGGACCAGGCCACCTACATCAGGTATGGGACACCCCCAAACTCCCAGGGTGTCCCCAAACCCCTGGAAGTGTCCCCAACCTGTCCCCAAACCCCCATGTGTGTGTCCCCCAAACCCCTGTGTGACTCCTTCTGGGACCAGGCCACCTACATCAGGTATGGGACAGTCCTCAGAGTGTCCCCAAACCCCTGGGGGGGTCCCCAAATCCCTGGGGGGGTCCCCAAATCCCTGGGGGGGTCACCAAACCCCCTGTGTCCCCAAACCCCCTGTGTGTCCCCAACCTGTCCCCAAACCCCCGTGTGTGTCCCCCTAAACCCCTGTGTGACTCCTTCCGGGACCAGGCCACCTACATCAGGTATGGGACAGTCCCCAAACCCCTGGGGGGGTCCCCAAACCCCCAGAGTGTCCCCTAAACCCCCAGGGTGTCCCCTAACCCCCAAAGTGTCCCTAGCTCCCCAGAGTGTCCCCAACCCCCAGGGTGTCCCCAACCCCCAGGGTGTCCCCAACCCCCAGATTGTCCCTAACCCCCTTTGTGTCCCCAACCCCTTTGTGTCCCTAACCCCTTTGTGTCCCCAACCCCCAAAGTGTCCTCAACCCCAAAGTGTCCCCAACCCCCAGGGTGTCCCCTAACCCCCTTTGTGTCCCCAACCCCCTTTGTGTCCCCAACCCCCAAAGTGTCCCTAACCCCTTTGTGTCCCCAACCCCCAGGGTGTCCCCAAACCCCTGGGGTGTCCTGAACCCCCTTGTGTCCCCAACCCCCAGGGTGTCCCCAACCCCCTTTGTGTCCCCAACCCCTTTGTGTCCCCAACCCCCAGGGTGTCCCCTAAACCCCCTTAGTGTCCCCTAACCCCCTTTGTGTCCCCAACCCCCTTTGTGTCCCCAACCCCCAGGGTGTCCCCAACCCCCTTTGTGTCCCCAACCCCCAAAGTGTCCCCCAACCCCCTTTGTGTCCCCAACCCCCTTTGTGTCCCCAACCCCCTTTGTGTCCCCTAACCCCCCTTTGTGTCCCCAACCCCCCAGGGTGTCCCCAAACCCCCTTTGTGTCCCCAACCCCCTTTGTGTCCCCAACCCCCCAGGGTGTCCCCAACCCCCTTTGTGTCCCCAACCCCCCAGAGTGTCCCTAACCCCTTTGTGTCCCCAACCCCCTTTGTGTCCTCCAACCCCCTTTGTGTCCCCAACCCCCAGAGTGTCCCCAACCCCCTTTGTGTCCCCAACCTCCCTTTGTGTCCCCAACCCCCCTTTGTGTCCCCAACCCCCAGGGTGTCCCTAACCCCCTTTGTGTCCCTAACCCCCTTTGTGTCCCCAACCCCCTTTGTGTCCCCAACCCCCAGGGTGTCCCCAACCCCCAGGGTGTCCCCAACCCCCAGGGTGTCCCCAACCCCCAAAGTGTCCCCAACCCCCAGGGTGTCCCCAACCCCCAAAGTGTCCCCACCCCCCTTTGTGTCCCCAACCCCCCTTTGTGTCCCCAACCCCTTTTGTGTCCCCACCCCTTTGTGTCCCCTAACCCCCAGGGTGTCCCCAACCCCCAGGGTGTCCCCAACCCCCAGGGTGTCCCCTAACCCCCTTTGTGTCCCCAACCCCCTTTGTGTCCCCAACCCCCTTTGTGTCCCCAACCCCCAGGTGTCCCCAACCCCCTTTGTGTCCCCAACCCCCCAGGGTGTCCCCAACCCCCCAGAGTGTCCCCAACCCCCTTGTAGTCCCCAACCCCCAGGGTGTGGGGAGGGGTGGGGAGAACTCAGAAAGGGTTTTTTTTGGGGGAGGGCAGGGCGTGGTCCTGGGGGGCTGCTCGACCCCCACCCACTGTGACCCCTCCCCCTCCCCCCAGCTCCGTCAGGAGAGATTCCCAAAACTGCTGAGGCTCGTGAGTGGGAGGGGCGGGAAGTGCTTGGGGGTTTGGGGAGTCTTGAGGGGTTTGGGGGTCCTGAGGGGTTTGGGGGATGGGGGGCTTTGGGAGGATCCCAGGGGTTTGGGAGGCTGAGGGTCTTAGGGGGTTTGAGGGGGCTCTGGGGGAGCTTTGGAGGGGTCCTGAGGGGTTTAGGGAGGCTGGGGGGTCCTGAGGGTTTAGGGGGCTGGGAGGTCCTGAGGGGTTTGGGGGCTCTGAAGTGGATCCTGAGGGGTTTGGGTGGGAGAGGAGCTTGAGGCACCCCAGGGGTTTTTGGGGAGGGTTTGGGGGGCTGGGGAGGATCCCAAGGGGTTTGGGGGGTGCTGGGAGGATCTTGAGGATTTTGGGGGCTCTGGAGGGGCTTTGAGGAGGGGCCAGGGCTCTAGGGGCTTTTGAGGAGGGTTTGGAGGCTGAGTCTGAGGGGCCTGGGGAGTTTTGGGGGTCTGAGGGGGTTCAGTGACTTAGGGGCTTCCAGGGGATTTTGGGGAGGGTTTGAGGGGGACCCTGAGGGTTTGGGGGCTGGGGGATCCTGAGGGGTTGGGGTGGTGGGGGACTCTGAGAGGCACCCCAGGGGTGTTTTGGGGAGGGGTTTGGAGAGGGCTGAGAGGGACCTGAGGGTTTGGGGGGCTCTGTGGGGGAGTTGGGAGGAGAGGGGGACACAAAGGTTTTTAGGGGGGTTTGGGGGTCCCCAGGTGTGCTTTTGGGGGTGGGGATGATTTCACCCCAAGCCCCCAACCCCCAGGACGGCACTGAGCTCCCCCATCGCCTTCGGCGTCGAGGCCCCCACGACGCTCCCGCCCTGCAAGGTGGGGACCCCTCCCCCCTTTTTTGGGACCCTCCCTTTTTTGGGACCCCTCCCCATTTTTGGGACCCCTCTCCCCTTCCTGGGACCCTCATCTCTTTTTGGGACCCTCTCCCCTTCCTGGGACCCTCCCCTTTTTGGGACCCCTCCCCCACCTTTTAGGGACTCCTCCCCCTTTTGGGACCTCTCCCCTTTTTGGGACCCCTCCCCACCTTTTAGGGACTCCTCCCCCTTTTGGGACCTCTCCCCCCTTTTTGGGACCCATCCCCCATTTCTGGGACCCTCCCCTTTCCTGGGACCCCTCCCCTTCCTGGGACCTCTCCCCCTTTTTGGGACCCTTTCCCCTTTCCTGGGACCCTCCCCCTTTCTTGGGACCCCTCCCCTTCCTGGGACCTCTCCCCTTTTTGGGACCCTTTCCCCTTTCCTGGGACCCTCCCCCTTTCTTGGGACCCCTCCCCCTTCCTGGGACCCCTCCCCATTTTTGGGACCCCTCCCCATTTCTGGGACCCCTCTCCCCCTTTCCTGGGACCCCTCCCCCATTTTCTGGGACCCCTCCCCCTTTTTAGGGACTCCTCCCCCTTTGGGACCCCCTTCTCTGGGACCCTTTCCCTCTTTTTGGGACCCCCCCTCTTTCTGAGACCCCTCCCCCATTTTTTGGGACCCCCCCCTTTTCTGGGACCCCTCCCCCATTTTTTGGGGTCCTTTCCCCCATTTTTGGGTCCCTTCCCCCCTTTTTGGGACCCCCGTGTGCTGGGGGTTTCCACGTTGAGGGGGTCCCATCCGTGTCCCCCTCCCCAAATTTCAGGGCAGTTATTTCGGCTCAGACGACCTGAAGGGGCTGGTGCTGAGATTCCTGCAGCAGTGAGTCCTTCTGGGGGGAAAAATGGGGGAAAAGGGGGGAAAAAGGGGAAAATAATGGGGGAAAATAGGGGAAAACAATCTGGGAAAATGGGGGGAAAATGGGGAAAAAAAGGGGGAAATAACGTGGAAAAATGGGGGGGAAAAAGGAGGGGAAAAAAGGGGGAAAATAATGTGGGAAAGTGGGGGGAAAAAGGAGGGGAAAATGGGGAAAAAAAGGGGGAAATAACGTGGAAAAATGGGGGGGAAAGGAGGGGAAAATGGGGAAAAAAGGGGGAAAATAATGTGGGAAAATGGGGGGAAAAAGGAGGGGAAAATGGGGAAAAAAAGGGGGAAATAACGTGGAAAAATGGGGGGGGGAAAGGAGGGGAAAATGGGGAAAAAAGGGGGAAAATAATGTGGGAAAATGGGGGGAAAAAGGAGGGGAAAATGGGGAAAAAAGGGGAAATAACGTGGAAAAATGGGGGAAAGGAGGGGAAAATGGGGAAAAAAGGGGGAGGAAAAGGGGAAAAAGGGGGGGAAAATACTGTGGAAAAAGGGGGGGATAAAGGAGGGGAAAATAATGTGGGAAAATGGGGGGAAAAAGGGAAAAACAAGGTGGAGAAATGGGGGAAAAGGGGAAACAAGGGGGAAAAATGGGGGGGAAAAGGAGGAAAAACAACGTGGAAAAATGGGGAGGGGAAAAGGAGGAATAAAGAGAAGGAAGCAACGTGGACAGAGAGGGGAGAAAGGGGCAAAAAAACAGCGAAAAAGGAAGAAAAACCAGGGAAAAACACAGAAAAGGGGGGAAAAAGGGGGAAATGCCTTTTTTTTCCTGTCCCCCCCAGGTATTACTCCGTGTACGACTCCAGTGACCGGCAGGGGCTGCTGGACGCGTACCACGACGGGGCCTCCTGTTCCCTCAGCATCCCTTTTGGGCCCCAAAACCCCCCCAGGTACCCCAAAACCCCCCAAAACCCCCTAAACCCCCTCAGCATCCCCTTTGGGCCCCAGAACCCCCAGGTACCCCAAAACCCACAGGACCCCCAAACCCACAGGAACCCCCCAAACCCCCTGGGCCTCCTGTTCCTCAGCATCCCCTTCAGGCCCCAAAACCCCCCAGGTACCCCAAAACTCCCCAAACCCCCTGGGCCTCCTGTTCCCTCAGCATCCCTTTGGGCCCCAAAACCCCCAGGTACCACAGGGACCCCCAAACACACCCCTAAAACCCTCCTCGGGCCTCCTGTTCCCTCAGCATCCCCTTCAGGCCCCAAACCCCTCAGGTACCCCAAAACCCCCCAACCCCCCAAACCCCTCAGCATTCCTTCGGCCCCAGAACCCCCCAGGTACCCCAAAAACCCTCAGAGAGACCCCACAAATCCCAGGTACCCCAAAACCCCTCAGGGACCCCCCAAACCCCTCAGCATCCTCTTCGCCCCCAGAACCCCCCCAGGTACCCCAGAGACCCCCAGGGACCCCCCAAACCCCCTCAGCATCCCTTCGGCCCCCAAAACCCTCTCAGGTACCCCCAAAAACTCCAGGGACCCCCCAAAACCCCTCAGCATCCCTTTGGGCTCCCAGAACCCCCAGTACCCCAGAGACCCCCTGGACAGGACCCCCAAAGTTCCCCACCCTTTTCCCCCCTGTTTTTCATCTCCTTTTTCTCTCCTTTTTTTTCCCCCTTTTTCCCCTCATTTTTCCCCCTTTTTCTCCTCCTTTTTCCCCTCTTTTACTCTCCTTTTTCCCCCTTTTTCTCCTCCTTTTCCCCCCATTTTTTCCCCACTTTTTCTCCCCTTTCCCTCCCATTTTTACCTCTCTTTTCCCACTTTTACCCCCCTTTTCCCACTTTTTCCCCCGTTTTTCCCCCTTTCCCAGGAACAGCCTCAACGAGTATTTCAAGGACAGCCGGAACGTGAAGAAGCTGAAAGACCCCAGTGAGACCCCCGGGAATTTGGGAGGATTTTGAGGGGGGATTTTGTGTTGATTTTGGGGGGATTTTGGGGGGATTTTGGGGTGGATTTGGGGTGATTTTGGATTGGATTTTGGATTGATTTTGGGGCTGATTTTGGATGGATTTTGGGGTGTATTTGGGGTTGATTTTGGGGTGGATCTGGGGTGATTTTGGGGTGGATTTGGGGTGATTTTGGGGTGTATTTGGGGTTGATTTTGAGGTGGATTTAGGGTTGATTTTGGGGTGAATTTTGAGGTGGATTTAGGGTGGATTTTGGGGTGGATTTGGAGTTGATTTTGGGGTGGATTTGGGGTGGATTTGGGGTGATTTTGGGGTGGATTTGGGGTGGATTTGGGGCTGATTTTGGGGGGATTTTGGGGTGGATTTGGGGTGGATTTTGGGGTGGATTTGGGTTGATTTTGGGGTGATTTGGATGTTTATCATCCCCAGCCATGCGTTTCAATGATTTGGGTTGGATTTGGGCGGATTTTGGGGTGGATTTGGGGCTGATTTTGGGGTGATTTTGGGGCTGATTTTGGGGCTGATTTTGGGTGGATTTTGGGGCTGATTTTGGGGTGGATTTTGGGGTGGATTTGGGGTGATTTGGGGCTGATTTTGGGGTTGATTTTGGGGTGGATTTGGGTTGATTTTGGAGTGATTTTGGGGTTTGATTTTGGGGTGATTTTGGGTGGATGTTTATCACCCCCAGCCATGCGTTTCAATGATTTTGGGGTTGATTTTGGGGTGGATTTTCGGGCTGATTTTGGGGTGATTTTGGGGTTGATTTTGTGGTGATTTTGGGGTGATTTGGGGTGATTTTGGGCTGATTTTGAGTTTTTTTACCCCCAGCCATGCGTTTCAATGATTTTGGGGTGGATTTGGGGTGATTTTGGGCTGATTTTGAGTTTTTTTACCCCCAGCCATGCGTTTCAATGATTTTGGGGTGATTTTGGGGTGGATTTTGGGCTGATTTTGAGGTTTTTTACCCCCAGCCATGCGTTTCAATGATTTTGGGGTGATTTTGGGGTGGATTTGGGGTGATTTTGGGCTGATTTTGAGGTTTTTTTCCCCCCAGCCATGCGTTTCAAGCTGCTCAAGCACACGAGGCTCAACGTGGTGGCTTTTCTGAACGAGCTGCCCAAGACCCAGCACGACGTGAACTCCTTCGTGGTCGACATCTGCGCCCAGACGGTGAGGGGGGGTCCTCACTGAGCCCCCCGGGGGGCCCCCAAATAAAGGGACCCCCCCCCCAAATTCAGGGACAAACCCCCAGAAAAAAAAAAGGGACAGACCCCAAAAAAAAGGGACATTCTCCCTAAAGAAAGGGATTTCCACCTTAAAAAAAAGGGACAGCTTTCAAAAAAAAGGGGACACCCCCCCCTAAAAAAATAGGACACCCCCCCCCAAAAACAGGGACAATTTTCAAAAAAGAAGGGACGTTCCCCCCCCCCAAAAAAAGAACATCCTTACTAAAAAAAAGGGACACCTCCCTAAAAAAAGAAGGGACACCCCCCCTAAATAAAAGGGAAACTTTAAAAAAAACAGGGATCCCTCCTGAAAAAAAAAGAGACACCCTCCCTAAAATAAATGGGACATCCCCCCCCAAAAAAGAAGGGACAACTTTCAAAAAAAAAGGCACAACTTTCAAGGACCCAAAAGGGACCCCCCAAAAAGTACCCTCCCCCAAAAAAGGACACCCCTCCCCCAAATTCAGGGATACCCCCAAAAAGGGACACCCCCCAGATGTGGGGACACCCCCAAACTTGGGAAACCCCTAAATACAGGGACCCCTCCCCCAAATACAGGGACAACCTCCCCAGTTCGGGGTACCCCCAGACGTGGGAGACCCCCAAACTCGGGGATCCCCTGACCCCCCTGTCTCGCAGAACACGCTGCTCTGCTTCACCGTGCCACGGCATCTTCAAGGAAGGTGAGTCCCCCACCCCCTTTGCCCTTTTTTTCCTTTTTCGCCATTTTTCACTCTTTTTCCCTGTTTTCCCCTTTTTTTCCCTTTTTTACTTGTTTTTCCCTGTTTTCCCCTTTTTAAAAAAAAATCGCTTTTCTCAATTTTTACTCATTTTCTGTTTTCCCCTTTTTAAAAATAAAAAACAAAATTACGTTCTTTCCCCCATTTTTATCTTTTTTTCTCCTTCCCCCTTTTTCTTTTCCTCTTTCTCTCCCCTACTTTTTCTCTTTTCTTCTTTTTCTGGTTTTTAACTCTTTTTTTCTTTTTTCTTTTTCTCTCTTTCTCTCCTTTTTTCTTCTTTTTTCCTGCCTTTTATTCCTCCCTTTTTTCCCTCTTTTTTTTCCTTTTTATTTTCCTTTTTTCTCTCTTTTTCTTTCTCTTTTTCTTCTTTTTTTCCACCTTTTTTTCCCCTCATTTTTGTCTTTTTTTTCTTTTTTTCCTCCTTTTTCTCATTTTCCTCCCCTTTTCCCCTCTTTCTTCCCCCTTTTCCCCCCTTTTTCCCCTCCTCACCCCCCTTTCCTTTCCCCCATTTTCCCATTTTCCCCCTCTCTCCCCGTTTTCCCCCAGTGGGCCCCGGAAAATCCCGGGATTCCGTGCGGGCCTTCACTCGGATGTTCATCGCGGTGCCGGCGGGGAACAGCGGGTGAGCCAGGGGGCTGGGGGCACCCCTCACCCAAATCCCAACATTTTCCCCCAAATCCCACCATTTTCCCTCAAATCCCAACAGTTTTCCCCCAAATCCCGTCATTTTCCTTCAAATCCCCACTGTTTTCCCCTCAAATCCCACCATTTTCCCTCAAATCCCACCATTTTCCCCCAAATCCCACCCTTTCCCTCAAATCCCGCCATTTTTCCCCAAATCCCGCCATTTTCCCTCAAATCCCCACCCTTTTTTTCTCAAATCCCAACAGTTTTCCCTCAAATCCCACCCTTTCCCTCAAATCCCGCCATTTTCCTTTAAATCTCCTCCATCTTCCCTCAAATTCCAACATTTTTCACTCAAATCAAACCATTTTCCCTTTAAATACTAACATTTTTCCCTCAAATCCTGCAATCTTCCCTCAAATCCCACCATTTTCCCCTCAAATCCCAACAGTTTTCCCTCAAATCCCAACAGTTTTCCCTCAAATCTCACCATTTTCCCCCAAATCCCCACCCTTTTTTCCTCAAACCCCACCATTTTCCCCAAACCCCACCATTTTCCCTCAAATCCTCCACATTTTCCCCCAAATCCCGTCATTTTCCCCCAAATCCCAACATTCCCCCAAATCCCACCATTTCCCCTCAAATCCCGCCGTTTTCCCTCAAATCCCACCATTTTTCCCCCAAATCCCGCCATTTTTCCTCAAATCCCCACCCTTTTTTCCCTCAAATCCCAACATTTCCCCCCCCAAAATCCCACCATTTTTCCTCAAATCCCAACATTTTCCCTCAAATCCCCACCCTTTTTCCCTCAAATCCCACCATTTTCCTCAAATCCCCACCCTTTTTCCCTCAAATCAAACCATTTTCCCTCAAATCCCCACCATTTTCCCTCAAACCCCACCATTTTCCCTCAAATCCCACCATTTTCCCTCAAATCCCGTCATTTTCCCTCAAATCCCACCATTTCCCCTCAAATCCCACCATTTTCCCTCAAATCCCAACATTTTCCCCAAAATCTCGCCATTTTCCCTCAAATCCCGCCATTTCCCCTCAAATCCCACTATCTTCCCTCAAATCCCACCATTTTTCCCTTAAATCCTAACATTTTTCCCTCAAACCCCACCATTTTCCCCCAAATCCCAACAGTTTTCCCTCAAATCCCGCCATTTTCCCCTCAAATCCCACCATTTTTTCCTCAAATCCCACCATTTTTTCCTCAAATCCTACCATTTTTCCCTTAAATCCTAACATTTTTCCCCCAAATCCCCACCCTTTTTTCCTCAAATCCCATTTCCCCCCCAAATCCCACCGTTTTCCCTCAAATCCTGCTGGTTTTTTTTGCCATTTCTCCCCCCAATCCCCCGCATTTCCCCCCCAATCCCCCTCAACCCCCAAACCCCCCAAATCCCCAAATCCCCCAAACCCCCAATTCCTCCAAACCCCCTCAAATCCTCCCAACCCCCAAACCCCTGACTTTTTCCCCCAGGCTGTGCCTGGTGAACGAGTGAGCTGTTCGTGCGGGCGAGCCCCTCCCAAACCCCAAATCCCCCCAGCCCCCCAAACCCCCAAATCGTTTTCCCCCCTTCCAGGCTCGTGGCCTGGTGGATGATGAGCTGAGTCGTGCAGGGCGAGCCCTCCCAAACCCCCTCAAACTCCCCAAAACCCACCCAAACACACCCCAGCCTCCAAACCCCCTGGACAGTCTCTTTTCCCCCATCCAGGTCCTGCCTGGGAATGACGACGCTGTGCGTGTGCAGAGGCGAGCCTCCCAACCCCCCAAATCCCCCAAATCCCCTCAAATTCCCCAAATCCCCCCAAGCCCCCTGACTCCTTTTTTCCCCCCTTTTCAGGCTGTGCCTGGTGAATGAAGCCCCTAACCCTGTTTCCTTTTCAGGCTGTGCCTGGTGAATGATGAGCTGTTCGTGGGGGAGGCCCGCGAGGAGCCACGCAAAGCCTTCGCCCTGCCCGCCCCCACCCCCTCGAGCAGCCCGTGCCCACCCTGAGCTCCGAGCAGCAGGAGATGCTGGCGGCCTTCAGCCATGCAGTCGGGCATGAACCTCGAGTGGTCCCAGAAGTGAGTCCAAAACACCCCAAAACACCCCAAAAACACCCCAAAAATACCCCCAAAATCACCTGAAACACCTCAACCCCAACCCGTGTCCTGCAGTCAGGCATGAACCTCGAGTGGTCCCAGAAGTGAGTCCAGAAAACCCCAAAATACCCCAAAAACACCCCCAAAATACCCCAAAAATACCCCCAAAATACCCCCAAAACAACCCCAAATCCCCAGCTCCAAATACCCCAACCCCAGCCCGTGTCCTGCAGTCGGGCACGAACCTCGAGTGGTCCCAGAAGTGAGTCCAAAACACCCCAAAAACACCCTGAAATACCCCAAAAATACCCCAAAAACAACCCCCAAATCCCCCAACCCCAGCCCATGTCCTGCAGTCGGGCATGAACCTCGAGTGGTCCCAGAAGTGAGTCAGAAATAACCTGAAACACCCCAAAAATCACCTCAAATACCCCAAAAATACCCCAAAAACAACCCCCAAATCCCCCAGCCCCAGCCCCAAATCCCCCAGACCCAGCCCCAAATCCCCCAACCCCAGCCCGTGTCCTGCAGTCGGGCATGAACCTCGAGTGGTCCCAGAAGTGAGTCAGAAATACCCCAAAAATCACCTCAAATACCCCAAAAATACCCCAAAAATACCCCAAAAATACCCCAAAAATCACCTGAAATACCCCAGCCCCAGCCCTTGTCCTGCAGTCGGGCATGAACCTCAAGTGGTCCCAGAAGTGAGTCCGAAACACCCAAAAACACCCCAAAAATACCCCCAAAATACCCCAAAACCAGCCCTTGTCCTGCAGTCGGGCATGAACCCCAAGTGGCCCCAGAAGTGAGTCCAAAATACCCCAAAATACCCCAAAAATACCCCTAAAATTCCCCAGCCCCAGCCCTTGTCCTGCAGTCGGGCATGAACCTCGAGTGGTCCCAGAAGTGAGTCCAAAACACCCCAAAATACCCCAAAAACCCACTGAAATACCCCAGAATACCCCAAAAATCACCTCAAATCCCCCAACCCCAGCCCTGGTCCTGCAGTTGGGCCCGATCCTTGAGTGGCCCCAGAAAAGAGCCCAAACCCCCCCCAAAACACCCCAAAAGACCCCAAAATCCCCCAACCCTTGTCCTGCAGGCCCTCGAGTGGCCCCCAAATGAGCCTCCAAACTCCCAAAACAGCCCCAAACCCCCAAAACCCCCAAAACAGCCCCAAACCCCCAAAAAGCCCCCAAAGCCTCCAAACCAGCCCCAAACCTCCCAACCCCCCAAACAGCCCCAAGCCCCCCAAAACCCCCAAACCCCCAAAGCAGCCCAAAACAGCCCAAACCCCAAAACCCTCAAAACAGCCTCCAAAACCCCCAAACCCCCAAAACAGCCTCAAAACCCCCAAACCCCCAAAAACAGCCCCAAACCCCCAAACCAGCCCCAGACCCCCAAAACCCCCAAAACAGCCCTCAGCGCCTCAAAGCGCCCCAACCCCAAAAGCCCCAGAACCCCCAAAGCCCCCAACCCCAAAACCCCCAAAACAGCCCCAAACCCCCAAAACCATCCCCAAACCCCCAGAACCCCCAAAAAATCCCCAACCCCCTTTTCCCCAGGTGCCTCCAGGACAACGACTGGGATTACGGCCAGGCCGGGCAGGTTTTCACCCAGCTCAAGGTGGGGGTCTCTGCCCCTCCCCCCTCCCCATTTTGGGGGTCCTCCCCACCTCCTCCCCACTGACTCCCCTCCCCTCTCTCCGCAGATGGAAGGGAAGATTCCAGAGGTTGCGTTTCTCAAGTGAACGTTGGACGTTGGACAGGACCCCCCACCCTCCGGCTCCTCCCGCGGTGTTTTATCCCCCCCCCCCCGGTTTTGTAAATAAATCAATCGATCGATCGATTCTTTCAATCGCGGAGCGGCCCCTTTAAATGGGGGGGGGGCGGTGAGGGCAGAGCGGCCCCGCCCGGAACAAACATGGCGGACGCGGCCGGGGCGGGGAGCGCACTGATTGGTCGAACGGCGAGCGGCTGCGGCGGATTGGCTGAGGCGGGAGGGCGGGCTCGCAGCCCATTGGCTGAGGAGGGAGGGGGAGTCGCAGCTCATTGGCTGGGGCGGGACGTGCCGTCACTCAGCCAATGGGAGGGCGCGGGAAAGGGGCGGGGCCGGATATTGGAGGGCGGACCCGGAAGCGGCGGCGGCGCCGGCGGGGCCCGATCCCGGTCCCGGTCCTGATCCCGGTCCCGATCCTGATCCCGATCCCGGTCCTGATCCTTGTCCCGATCCCTGTCCCGGTCCCTGTGCGGTCCCGGCGATCCCGACCCTCGTGGTCCCGGTCCCGATCCCGGTGGCGATCCCGACCCTCGTGGTCCCGGTGGATTCCTGGGCGGGTCTCGGTGATCCCGCGTGGCTTCGATCCCGGCGCTCCCAGCCCGATCCCGGCGCTCCCATCCCGATCCCGCCGTATCCCGGTGCCATCCCGGTGTGTCCCGATCCCATCCCGGTCCCATCCCGGTGTATCCCGGTGTCATCCCGGTGTGTCCCGGTGTGTCCCGATCCCATCCCGGTGTGTCCCGGTGCCATCCCGGTCCCTCCCGGTGCTGATCCCGGTGTATCCCGGTGCCTCCCGGTGTGTCCCGATCCCATCCCGGTGTGTCCCGGTGCCAATCCCGGTGCCAATCCCGGTGTCGATCCCGGTGCTATCCCGGTGCTATCCCGGTGTCTCCCCTCTATCCCCTCATCCCCTCTGTCTCCCGATGTTCCCGGTCCCTCCCAGTCCCTCCCGGTGCTATCCCGGTGCTATCCCGGTGCCGATCCTGGTGGTCCCGGTGTCTCCCGGGGTTCCCGGTCCCTCCCAGTCCCTCCCGGTGTTCCCGGTGTGTCCCGGTGTATCCCGGTGCTATCCCGGTGTTCTCGGTCCCTCCCGGTGCCATCCCGGTGTCTCCCGATGTATCCCGGTCCCTCCCGGTGTATCCCGGTCCCTCCCGGTGTATCCCGATGTATCCCGGTCCCTCCCGGTCCCTCCCGGTGTCTCCCGTTGCTATCCCGGTTCCTCCCGGTGCTATCCCGGTCCCTCCCGGTGTTCCCGGTCCCTCGGACCCTCCCGGTCCGTTGCTCATCCCGGTTGGTTTCCTTTGCAGGTCCCGATCCCGGTGCCGATCCCGGTGCCGATCCCGGTGTCGTTCCCAGTGTCATTCCGGTGCCGATCCGTGCGTCGTGCCGATTCCCGGTGTCATTCCCGCTGTGTCGCGACTGTCGCGGGTCTGTCGTCGGGGATGTCGCGGTGGTCGCGGGGGTGGCCGGGGGCCCTGAAGGCTCGCGCGGCTCGGTACGCGCTGCAGCGCTGGATCGGGCCCTTCCTGCAGGAGCCGCTGCGGCTCGAGCAGCTCGGCCTCGACCTGGGGGGGGGCACCGGGACCCTGCGGGGGCTGCGATTGAGGGCCCAGGTACGGGGGGCACCCGGGTACCATCACTGGGGGCTGCCGATTGAGGGCTCAGGTACGGGGGGCACCGGGACCATCCTGGGGGTAACCTGAGACCTGGGGGCACCGGGACCCTGCGGGGCTGCGATTGAGGCTCAGGTACGGGGGGCACCGGGGGCACCGGGACCATCCTGGGAGGGCACCGGGACCCTCCGGGGCTGCGATTGAGGGCTCAGGTGCACGGGGGCACCAGGACCATCCTGGGGGTAACCGAGACCTGGGGGGCACCGGGACCACGGCGAGGGGCTGCGATTGAGGCTCAGGTACGGGGGCACCGGGACCATCCTGGGGGATAAAATCGACCTGGGGGACACCGGGACCCTCCGGGGATAAAATCGACCTGGGGCACTGGGACCCTCGGGGGGATAAAATCGACCTGGGGGGCACCGGGACCCTCCGGGGGCTGCGATTGAGGCCTCAGGTACGGGGGCGTTTGGGGATGATTTGGGGGTGATTTTGGGGTGATTTTTGGGGATGGTTTGCGAACGGTTTTGGGGATGGTTTGGGAATGGTTTTGGGGACAGTTTTGGGGTGATTTGTGGATGATTTGGGGATGGTTTGGGGAGGGTTTGGGGATGGGTTTTGGGTGAGTTTAGGGATGGTTTGGGGACATTTTTGGGGATGGTTTGGGGACATTTTTGGGGGTGGTTTGGGGACATTTTTGGGGATGGTTTGGGGACAGTTTTGGGGGTGGTTTCAGGAGGGTTTTGGGGTGAGTTTAGGATGGTTTGGGAATGGTTTTGGGGACGGTTTGGGGTGGTTTAGGGATGAGTTTTGGATGAGTTTGGGGATGGTTTGGGGACATTTTTAGGGGATGGTTTTGGGGGTGGTTTGGGGGTGATTCTGGGGTGATTTGGGGGCAGTTTTGGGGATGGTTTGGGGAGGGTTTTGAGGATGGGTTTGGGGTGAGTTTAGGCATGGTTTGGGGACATTTTTGGGGTGGTTTGGGGGTGATTTTGGGGATGGTTTGGGGGTGATTTTGGGGATGGTTTGGGGGTGATTTGGGGGTGGTTTGGGGACGGTTGTTGGGATGGTTTGGGGAGGGTTTTGGGGATGGATTTGGGGTGAGTTTAGGGATGGTTTGGGGACATTTTTGGGGATGGTTTTGGGGACATTTTTGGGGATGGTTTGGGGGTGATTCTGGGGTGGTTTGGGGACAGTTTTGGGGATGGTTTGGGGACATTTTTGGGGATGGTTTGGGGACATTTTTGGGGATGGTTTGGGGGTGATTCTGGGGTGGTTTGGGGACAGTTTTGGGGATGGTTTGGGGTGAGTTTTAGGGATGGTTTGGGGACATTTTTGGGGATGGTTTGGGGACATTTTTGGGGGTGGTTTCAGGAGGGTTTTGGGGTGAGTTTAGGGATGGTTTGGGAACGGTTTTGGGGACAGTTTTGGGGTGGTTTGGGGGTGATTTTTGGATGATTTGGGGATGGTTTGGTGACATTTTTGGGGATGGTTTGGGGGTGATTCTGGGGTGTTCCAGGGGTGTTTGGGGGGGGTTTTGGGGTTGTTTTTGGGTGTGTTTTTGGGGGTGTTCCTGAGGTGTTTCTGGGGTGTTCCAGGGGTGTTTTGGGTGGGTTTTTGGGTGGGTTTTGGGGATGTTTTTTGGTATGTTTTTGGGGGTGTTCCTGAGGTGTTTGGGGGGTGTTTTGGGGGTGTTCTGGGTGTGGTTTTGGGGGTGTTTTTGGGTGGGTTTTGGGGGTGTTTTGGGTGTGTTTTTGGGTGGGTTTTGGGGGTGTTCTGGGTGTGTTTTTGGGTGTGTCTTTGGGGTGTGTTTTTGGGGGTGTTCCTGAGGTGTTTTGGGGGTGGTTTCGGGGGTCCCTGACCCCCCCCGTGCCCCCCCCAGGCTGTGGACGAGCTGCTGTTGGGGGCTGGGGCGCCCCTGGAGCTGCTGGAGGGCCGGGTGGGGGCCGTGACCGTCGCTGTCCCCTGGGCCGCGCTGGGCACGGAGCCGGTGACGCTGCGGGTGACGGAGCTGAGGCTGCTGCTGCGGCCCCGTGAGTGCCACTGCCACTGTCTCCCCCCCCTGCTGGCACTGTCACCCCCCCAGTGTCCCCTGTCACCTCCCCCCTGCTGGCACTGTCACCTCCCCCCCTGGTGGCACTGTCACCCCCTCCATTTCACTGTCACCTCCCCCTGGTGGCACTGTCACCCCACCCCCCTGGTGGCACTGTCACCCCACCCCCCTGGTGGCACTGTCACCTCAGTGTCGCCTGTCACCTCCCCCTGGTGGCACTGTCACCTCCCTCCCTGGTGGCACTGTCACCTCCCCGCTGGCACTGTCACCCCCTGGTGGCACTGTCACCTCCCCTGGTGGCACTGTCACCTCCCCTGGTGGCACTGTCACCTCCCCTGGTGGCACTGTCACCTCCCCTGCTGGCACTGTCACCTCCCCCTGCTGGCACTGTCACCTCCCCTGGTGGCACTGTCACCTCAGTGTCCCCTGTCACCTCCCTTGGTGGCACTGTCACCTCCCAGTGGCACTGTCACCCCCCCTGCTGGCACTGTCACCTCCCCCTGCTGGCACTGTCACCTCCCCCAGTGGCACTGTCACCTCCCCTGCTGGCACTGTCACCTCCCCCTGCTGGCACTGTCACCTCCCCTGCTTGCACTGTCACCTCCCCTGGTGGCACTGTCACCTCCCCAGTGGCACTGTCACCTCCTCCCCTGGTGGCACTGTCACCTCCCCTGCTGGCACTGTCACCTCCCAGTGTGCACTGTCACCTCCTCCTGGTGGCACTGTCACCTCCCCTGGTGGCACTGTCACCTCCCTGTGGCACTGTCACCTCCCAGTGTCACTGCAGGTGACGCAGCTGAGGCTGCTGCTGCGCCCCCGTGACTGGCTCTGGCACTGTCACCTCCCCTGGTGGCACTGTCACCCCCTCTGCTGGCACTGTCACCTCCCCTGCTGGCACTGTCACCTCCCCTGGTGGCACTGTCACCTCCCCTGGTGGCACTGTCACCTCCAGTGTCCACTGTCACCTCCCCTGGTGGCACTGTCACCTCCCCTGCTGGCACTGTCACCTCCCCTGGTGGCACTGTCACCTCCCCCTGCTGGCACTGTCACCTCAGTGTGCACTGTCACCTCCCTGGTGACACTGTCACCTCCCCTGGTGGCACTGTCACCTCCCTGCTGGCACTGTCACCTCCCCGGTGGCACTGTCACCTCCCCTGTGGCACTGTCACCTCCTGGTGGCACTGTCACCTCCCTGGTGGCACTGTCACCTCACCTTCCCCGGTGGCACTGTCACCTCAGTGTCCCCTGTCACCTCCCCCTGGTGGCACTGTCACCTCCCCCTGCTGGCACTGTCACCTCCCCTGCTGGCACTGTCACCTCCCCTGGTGTACTGTCACCTCCCCCTGCTGGCACTGTCACCTCCCAGTGTCACCTGTCACCTCCCTGGTGGCACTGTCACCTCCCTCTGTGGCACCTGTCACTCCCCCGGTTTCACTGTCACCTCCCCTGGTGGCACTGTCACCTCCCCCCTGCTGGCACTGTCACCTCCAGTGTCACCTGTCACCTCCCCTGGTGGCACTGTCACCTCCCCTGGTGCGCACTGTCACCTCCCCCTGCTGGCACTGTCACCTCCCTGGTGGCACTGTCACCTCCCTGGTGGCATTGTCACCTCACTCCCCGGTAGCACTGTCACCTCCCCCTGGTGACACTGTCACCCCTCCCCGGTGGCATTGTCACCTCAGTGTCACCTCGTCACCTCCTCAGTGTCACCTACCAGTTCACTGGTGGCACTGCCACCTCCCTCTTGTCCCCCCCCTACTGGCACTGACCCTCCCCTGTGACCTCATGCACCCCCTCGAGGGCACTCAGTCACCTCCCCGCTGTCACCTCACCCCCTGGTGACCCCCCGGTACTGTCCCCCAATGTCCCCACTGACCCTCCCGCCTCCCACTGCTCCCACTCGGTCACCCCCTGTTGTCCCCATGACCTCCCAATGTCCCCATGACCTCCCTAATGTACTGCCCCTGCCCCCCTGGCACTGTCCCCACCCTGGCTGGCCACTGTCACCTCCCCCGGTCCCCCCACTGTCACCCCACCTGCTGGCACTGTCACCTCCCATGCTGGCATGTCACCTCCCACATGGTGCACCATGACCCCCCCTGCTGCCACTGTCACCCAATGTCACCCATGACCCTCCAATGTCACCTCCCCGGTGCACTGTCCCCACCCCTGGTGGCACCCCCAATGTCCCCTGCCCCCCCGCCCCCGCGCTGTCCCCACCCCAGTGGCCCCCAATGTCCCCTCATTGTCACCCATGACCCCCTCAGCGTCACCTGCACAGTCCACGGTGGTCACCCCCATTGTCCCCATGCACTCCCCAGCGCCCCCACTGTCCCCAGGTGACCCCCCATGTCCCCATGACCCCCCCGCTGTCCCCACCCTGGTGACCCCCCAATGTCCCCTCAATGTCCCCATGCCCCCTATGACCTCCCGCTGTCCCCCTGGTGACCCCCCGTGTCCCCCAGGGCAGGAGGGGGGTCGTGCCTGGCTCTCTCCCGGGGTGGGGGCAGGGCTGGACTCCCGGAGCCCCCTGAGGGGGCTGGAGGCGCTGGCCCTGACCATCGAGTCAGGTGACAATGGGGGGACATGGGGGCTTTGGGGGCTTTGGGGGCTGGGGACATGGGGGGCTCAGGGACATGGGGGCTTTGGGACATGGGGACAATGGGGGGGGCCCTGACCATCGAGTCAGGGACAATGGGGGGACAGGGGCTTTGGGGCTAGACATTGGGTCATGAGGGGCTAGCCTTGACCACTGAGTCAGGTGACAATTGGGGGACATGGGGGAGCTTTGGGGAGGGCTTGGGGGACATTGGGGGTCATGGGGAGGGCTGGCCTTGACCATCGAAGTCAGGTGACAATGGGGACATTGGAGGAGCTTTGGGGACATGGGGGGCTTTGGGGGACTGCTGGGAGGACAATGAGGACATGGGGGACAATGGGGGCCATGGGGACACTGGGGGTCTGGCCCTGACCATCGAGTCAGGTGACAATGGACATTGGGGAGCTGGGGACATGGGGGGGCTTTGGGGGACACTGGGGGGCTCATGGGGACATGGGGGTCATGGCACATGGGGGCCTTTGAGGACATGGGGGCTTTGGGGACATTGGGGGCTTTGGACACTGGGGGCTTTGGGGACAATGGGGGGCTTTGGGGCTATGGGGACACTGGGGGCTGGCCCTGACCATCGAGGTCAGGTGACAATGGGGGGACATGGGGGCTGAGGGCTTTGGGGACATGGGGGGGCTTGGCCGTGACCATCGGAGTCAGGTGACAATGGGGGTAGCTTTGGGGACATGGGGAGGTCATGGGGATGGGGCTGGGCCCTGACCATCGAGTCAGGTGACAGGGGGACAATGGGGGGCTTTGGACACTGGGGGAGCTTTGGGGTCATGGGGGACATGGGATGGGGCTTTGGGGACAATGGGGGATCATGGGGGGTCATGAGGGGACTATTGGGGACATTGGGGGCTTTGGGGACAATGGGGAGTCATGGGGGTCATATGGGGTCATGGGGGACATGGGGGGCTTTGGGGACATGGGGGTCATGGGGGTCATGAGGGGCTTTGGGGACACTGGGGGCTTTGGGGACATGGGGGGCTTTGGGGACATTGGGGGCTTTGGGGACATTGGGGGTCATGGGGGGTCATGAGGGGGCTTTGGGGGACACTGGGGGCTTTGGGGACATGGGGGTCATGGGGGTCATGGGGGCTTTGGGGGGGCTTTGAGGACACTGGGGGTCATGGGGGTCATGGGGGCTTTGGGGACAATGGAAGGGGCTTTGGGGGACAATGGGTGGGGGACAAGGGAGGTTTCAGTTTGGGGAGGGGAGGAGGGGAGGGCTCCTCTTGGTGGGGTGGGGGCTGTACCTGACCCTCCCCTCCCCCCCCCAGTGCTGAGGAGGCTCCGGGTGGTCCTGGAGGGGCGGAGCTGAGGCTGGAGCTGCCCCTCCCCACGGGGAGTCCTGGGGGCCCTCGAGCTGCACCTGCCCAGGTGAGGGGGTGGGGGGTCTTGGGGTTCCTTGGGGGTCCTGGGGGTCCTGGGGGTCTTGGGGGTCCTGGGGGTCCTGGGGGTCCTGGGGGTCCTGGGGTCTTGGGGCCACCTGCCCAGGTGAGGGGGTGGGGTCCTGGGGGGTCCTAGGGGTTCCTTGGGGTCCTGGGGGGTCCTGGGGGTTGTGGGGGGGTCGGGGGGTCCTGGGGCTGCACCTACCCAGGTGAGGGGGCTGGGAGGGTCCTGGGGGTCCTGGGGGTTCTTTGAGGGGTCCTGGGGTCAGGGGGTCAGTTGAGGGGGTCTCAGGTCTTTCCCCCCCCAGGGCAGAGTACGAGGACTGGGGGTCCAGGGGGTGTTTTGGGGGGTCCTGGGGGCTCAGGTGAGGGGGTCTCAGGTGTGACCCTTGCGACCCCAGGGCTGAGTACGAGGACTGGGGGGTCCTGGGGGTCAGGGGGTCAGGGGGTTCAGTTGAGGGGGTCTCAGATCTCTCCCCCAGGGCAGAGTACGAGGACTGGGGGGTCCCAGGGGGCTCAGGGGGTGCTTGGGGGGTCAGGGGGTCAGTTGAGGGGGTCTCAGGTCTCCCCCAGGGCAGAGTCACGAGGACTGGGGGTCCCGGGGAGTCAGGGGTGTTTGGGGGTCAGGGGGGTCAGGGGGTCAGTTGAGGGGGTCTCAGGTCTCTCCCCAGGGCAGAGTGCGAGGACTGGGGGGTCCCGGGGGTGTTTTGGGGGTCAGGAGGGGTCAGGGGGTCAGTTGAGGGGGTCTCAGATCTGTCCCCCAGGGCTGAGTACGAGGACTGGGGGGTCCCAGGGGGCCCCTCGCGGTGCTGCTGAAGGGGCTGCGTCTGTGGGACCCCAAAGTGCTGTGGCAGGAGCTGCCCCCAGGTAAGGGGGGACACCTGAGGGGGTGGGGACACCTGGGGGGACACCTGAGGGAGGACACACGGGGGACTCACCTGTGCCCTACCTGTGTGACCCCCCAGACCCCCTCATTTCTGAGGGGGTTCATTTTGTGTTCTCCCTCCCTCCCTCCCCAGGACCTTCTCCCCCTCATTCTGGGGGCTCATTCTGTGTCTCTGCCCCCAGGACCCCAGGACCCCCCTCATTCTGGGGGTGCTCATTCCGTGTTTTTCACCCCAGGACCCCAGGACCCCCTCATTTCGGGGGGCTCATTCTGTGTCTCTGCCCCCAGGACCCCCCCTCATTTTGGGGGCTCTGTCCCCCCAGGACCTCCCAGGACCCCCTCATTCTGGGGGCTCATTCCTGTTTTTCACCCCCAGGACCCCCTGGTTTTGGGGGCTCATTCTGTTTTCACCCCCAGAACCCCCCTCATTTTGGGGGCTCATTCATGTCTATCCCCCAGGACCCCCTCCCCTCACTCTGGGGGCTCATTCCGTGTTTTCACCCCCAGGACCCCTCCCAGGACCCCCTGGTTGTGGGGGCTCATTCTGTGTCTCTGCCTCCCAGGACCCCCCAGGCCCCCTGATTTTGGGGGTCTCATCCCGGGCCCCTCGGAGCTGTCGCTGCGGCTGAAGCAGAACGAGAACCTGCCCGGACCCGCTGTGGGCACGGGGGGCACGGGGGGGCACGGGGGGTCCTGGGGGTCCTGAGGGGTTTATGGGTGTTTGGGGGGTCCTGAGGGGTCCTGGGGGGCTCCAGGGGTCTTGGGGGTCCTGGGGGGGTTTGGGGGGTGTTTGGGGGGCCTGGGGTTGCCCGGGGGTGTCATTTTTGGGGTGCTTTGGGCTCATTTTTGGGGTGCTGGGGGGGCTCATTTTGGGGTGCTTGGTGGGCTCATTTTTTGGGTGCTGGGGGCTCATTTTGGGGGTGTTGTGGTGGCCTGGGGGGGTCATTTTTGGGATGCTGGGGGGGCTCATTTTAGGGTATTTTTGGCTCATTTTTGGGGTGCTGGGTGGGTTCATTTTTTGGGTACTGGGGGGGCTCATTTTGGGGGTGTTGTGGTGGCCTGGCGGGGTCATTTTTTGGGTGCTGGGGGCTCAGATTTTGGGGTGCTGGGGCTCATTTTTGGGTACTGGGAGGTTCATTCTTGGGGTGCTTTGGGCTCATTTTTTGGGTGCTGGGTGGGCTCATTTTTAGGGTGCTGGGGGCCTCATTTTAGGGGTTCTGGGGGCTCATTTTGGGGGTGCTGGGTGGTCGTTTTTTGGGTGCTGGGGGTCATTTTTGGGTATTGAGGACTCATTTTTGGGGTGCTGGGGGGGTCATTTTTTGGGTATTGGGGCTTGTTTTTGGGGTGCTGGGGGGCTCATTTTAGGGTGTTTTGGGCTCATTTTTGGGGTACTGGGGGCTCATTTTTGGGGTGCTTTGGGCTCATTTTGGGGTGCTGGGGGGGCTCATTTTAGGGTGTTTTTGGCTCATTTTTGGGGTGCTTTGGGCTCATTTTTTGGGGTGCTTTGGGCTCATTTTTGGGGCTCTACAGGTGGAGGTGGAAGGCAAGGTGGGGGCTCTGCACCTTCTGCTGCCCCCCCCCCTGCTGGGGCTCCTGAGGGGGCTCCTGGGGACCCTCGGACCCCCCGGTGAGTCCCCCCAAAACCTGGGACACCCCAAAACCTGGGGGGGACACCCCAAAAACTGG